TCCCGGCAGAGCCCGGGGCGGCGTCTGCCCCTCTGCCGCCGCTCCTCGGCTGCGTGCGGCTGGGCTCGCCGCTCCTCGGGGCCGGGAGAGCTGCGACGGCTACCGGCAAACCTGCCGCTGGGCTCCGGCATTTCAGGAGCCGTCCAGGCGAAATGTATCTTTCTGAAATTGAACCAGAAGTACAACCGTGTACTGTAATCGCCTAAAGATTTCCCACCGCGTTTTCTGGTGGTGTAATTCACGGACAGTTCTCACTGAAATGCAGCAGGGTGCTGGGTTTTTTTGAAGTCTTTCACAGGCAGAAGCTGATTGTAAAGTGGGGAGGAGTTTTGGGTTGGGCCAAAATGTTTTAAGTGGTGCTGGGGTTGAAAATAGAGCTGGAAAAGAAGCCCGTAGACTTGCCGTTTTCAGTTCTTGGCCCCTTTAAACCTTTCAGTGGCAGCATTTCCAGCGCATTCAGAGGGGATCAAAGTACGAGAGCTGGAAGTTGGGTCATGACAATGTCTTTGAAGTTAAAAGTATTTAAGTAGAGAATATGCTGATAGTACGAGTGTAAAAAGCGTAAATTGAGATTAGATATATTAAATTGGCCTTGGTGATCTTACCTTATGAGAGAAAGACAGTGGAGTAGTCTGTGCAGCAAACTCCGTTATCAGTGATGAAGTTTGTTATGCTATGCTGTTCCTTCTCCCAACCCCCCCAAAAAATACAAGTACTATTACATTTTTGCCCCCGCTTAGCAAAATCAGTAGCCATCAAGTGTTTACTTTTATTGTAGGTACATAGGTTAGATGAAGCACGTTGGGTGAGTTGTGCTGCGTGGGTTTTGTTTTGTTATGTGTGGTATTCTTTCCTTCTGTAGTATAGATTCTTCGGAGAGCCTGTGGTAGAAGCTTGTGTTGAAAATGGTGCAAGCTGCATTGACATCAGTGGAGAGCCCCAGGTACGTGACAGTAGAAAAAATGCTACCTTATATCAAGGATCTATTAAAGGAGCATTTGTTTAGTGTGTTTCATGTTTCTGCCAATGTTTTTGAACGTGAAGACAAATTCTGTCTCCTGATCTACAATTTAAGATGCATTAATTATTTTAAAGTACATTAATGTCTGTTGTATAGTTTTCTTAGGTTTAGACAAGAGCCTCTCAGGTTCTCTCTGGAAAGCCAAAATCTTTGAATTCTGCTTTAAGTCTCGGTTGTGATTCTACGTGGGACTTTTGTATAGATCACATTTCTTTGCACTGCTGTGACGCTTTCATACCATAAAACGGGAATAGTATGCATCGGTCTTAAAGATGCTTGTAAGCGGTTTGAAGTATGTAGGGTGCTACGATGTGACAGTAAAGCGCTGACGGCTAATACTGGGCATGGCCAAATACGGAGTGGTGCTTAAAATGTTTGTTCTGACTGTGTTTTAGTTTCTGGAAGGAACGTACCTGAAATACAACGAAAAAGCTGCGGAAAAGGGAGTATATGTCATTGGAAGCTGTGGCTTTGACTCTGTACCAGCCGATATGGGAGTACTGTACACCAGAGACAAGCTGAAAGGTGACTTAGTCAAGTGTGACCTTAATGCTGAAAAAGAAACGTGGATGATGCTTTCATCTGGTTTCCTGAAGCAGCAGCGCTTGTGTGGAAACTCGTTTGGTCTCTCTTTTTGCCTGCCTTTACCAGCTGACCAGTTTCAACCAAATCTGGTAGATAAACGTTTAAAAGTAAATCCTGTTCCCATTAGATTGGAGAGAATGGATCGTTGGGTAGAGGAGGGATTCAAGGTAATGTTGCTCACTGAGAGAACAGAGCCTTCAGCTGCCAGCAGCGGGTTGCTCAGCCAGCGTGTGGACGTCCCTAGGCAAGCCTCAGCGCACTGCCTCTTGTGCAGTGGGAATCTTGTAGGCAAGAGACAGTGGGGACCGGAAAGCTGCAGGAAAGGGATTGCAAATTAGTGGGTAATCGGGTTTTGTAAGTTTCCTTTTTCTACCGCAAGCGCTGTATGAGTGTAAGTAGATGGACAGTGCCATAGAATGCCTTTTTCTTTAAGAGCAGCTAGACCGTAACTGAAAGAGGATAAATGTATTTGAGAAAAGATGCAAGCTGTTTTAATTCTATGCAAGTAGTATTTGATCCTAATCTCAAAGGAGGGTACTTTGTTCATTAGGTCTGACTTTCAGTTGGAAGGGCCGATAAGAGTATCCAAATGTTTTGCTTCTACGTACTATTAAAACTGCTATTAAGTGGGATTGCTTTACACTGGAGTGTATCATCAACTTTCAGGTTAAGAAAACCCAATCTGGATCTGATTGGAGGGAGAGGAGAGGCGTGGAAATGAGTATCTGGTTGCTCCTGGGATTATAACTTGATGTCTGATACTTGTTTTGAATAAAGATGTCTTTTTATCTCTTCCTATATTGACTTTATGGTATTATCACTCGTCTGTCCAGTTGCTTGCTATATTGAAATTTCCCCACGCAAGTACAGTTTTACAATCTCAGAAGGAACTGAGCAAA